CCCCCCCCCCCCAACTATTGAAATAACGTATTATTATACCGGGTGTCCCAAAAAAAAACTTGCGCTGTTTGATTTAATGTAACGTAAAAACTATAAAAAGCTATTACACTCAAATAAGTTATATTGTATTCAGAAAGGGCTAACTTAGATTTTGATATATAACATTTGAATATCCGTGCAACATTTACTGAGCTATCTATATTTTAAATCAAATAAGCATATTTGACAATGTTAAAAATTTGCATAAAATTGCCTATCAAATATTATTCTGTTAAACTTGATATATAGTTTTATTGTGGCCAAAAGAACGAATGAACAATTGTTGGATGTTCATTTATTCATTCATCATAGAAAGTATGCGTCCTCTTGCACGTATACAATGTCTTGCGCGGCAAACCATAAAACCCAAACTCTTTGAACTTTTCTTAATCGAAGTATTCGAAAGGCGAACGAAGACCAACTTTATAATACGAACTCCCATGCAAAAGACTTCAAATATGCTTTCGAACGTTTTTAAATTCCCAAGAAACACGAAAGGCTAACTTATACTAGAGACATTACCCGAAATTAAAGTTGAGTTGAAATAAATGCTAAAATTGAAATTGTTAATTTTTGTGGAAAATGGCACTGATTGTTTTCATATAAATTTGATCATGCACCCGTGTTTCTCGACTTTTTACTCATTTTTAAAGCGTGAGTCAAATTTACATTTGTATCTCTGCACGTAATATTACATGACATTTTTATAGGGCTGTATATATCAAAATCTAAGTTAGCCTTTCCTCAATACAATAAAATTTATTTGAGTGGAATAGCTTTTACGCAAGTTGTTTTTGGGACACCCGGTATATAGAATTTGAATGCCTCAGCACAGTCTGCTGAACCCACAAGACAAGTAGCTACATGCATAAAAGCTTGGCATATAAGTACGTTTTATGATAAAGAAACTGTTTAAAGCTGCCGTTTAAATTCCCAAGAGAAGAAAATCGAAAAGATATTTTAATAAGTCAAAATTTATAATATAGGCCTATGCCCCTGTCTATATTTTACGTTCAGCTTAGTGCTAGCTAGGGCATTCAAATTCTAACAATACGTTATTTCAATAGTTTTGGGGTGTTTTGGGAACACCCTGTGCAGGGTGTCCCAAAAACCCCCGAAAACTATATATTGAAATAACGTATTGTTAGAATATATATAAGACAAATCGTTCATTCCTTTGATATTTCTAATTTGCGACAAGAGAAGATTTGAATTAAGACCTAATTTAATTTCCACCTAATCTTAATTTAAACCAAATATTTCTTATCAATTTCATTTCAGGAATTATGAAAGTCTTAATTAAACCGTTGTTATGTCAATAGTGTCTGTCATGGAAGAAATTGGGTAGCCAGGCTAATTACACGTCTCATATAAACAGTTTCATATTATTCTGACACTCATGCATGCATGCATGCATGCAGAGAACAACGAAAAATTCGTTATGTCAAGCGGAATTCGATCGAATCAGCTACGCTTGTCTCATGGAGTCGACAATTTTTATTGTTCTTAAGGTCCAGTTACACGTGCGATTTTTTTCTCGCACCGGCAACGCAACGGGTTAAATTTCATTGCGTTACTCGCGCGAGTGCTGAAATTGCCCGTGTAACATATCTGGCGCGGTAACGCAATTGCAACCCGATATTCTCGGCAATCGTTGCGGAAAGTTGAAATGCTTGAACTTTCGGCAACGATTGCCGAAAATATCGAATTACCCAGGCATTG